CAATCAACACGATGTTTTATTGTATAATTGTAACAAAAACAAACAAAAATGTGAAGGTTTTATACTTATTAAAAGTGGGTGGGGTAAATTTATCAGACAATTGTAGTACAAAATAACGTTTTTTAAGAATTCTTATGCAAGTATTCACTGTAAAAGTATTTTATTGTATTAAGGTATTTTTGTTTTCCTTCAGGTCTAGAGGGTGTACTAAAATATCAATAAATGCAGATACAATCATATGTATACATTCAGTTATTAAATGTGTTTGCATGATAGAAGTTGTTTCAATAGTCATAATATAACTTGATAATTGTACAGAAAGAAGACTGAATATTCATCAACGAACCATATGTTAGATAAAATCATGCCTCGACCTTAGTGAAATGTTGTCTATTTATGAATACAATTATTTCCTGCACAATTTAGTCTTGCTAAAAGCTTGTAACAGAATGATTCAAAGTTATATTTACTAGCACATCATTGTAACCAAGTATAATTGAATAAGTACCGTCCATTTCTAATAACTTATGTAGACATGATATTTTCAAAAGAAACAAAAATTTAGGCGACTGATATATCATATTATCTAATGACTAGGTGTGCTAAAATAGGTATCAATAAAACCGCTTGACCCACATAACAAACATAGCTTATACTTTTGAATATATACTAAATGTATTCCTACTTTATTTTTCCCATAAAACAAGAGAGCATCGTGACCCTAGATCACACCGCCTAAGACCCACTGCTGGAAAAGGTCTATAATTCTTTTATACTGAAGAATGCTAAAATCATATAAGGAGTATCTTTTTTTCACCAGTCATGATTTAAAGAATCATGTCCAATAACTAGGCTCTCAGAACTACAAGAAGACTCATATAACTATATTCCAATAAGAGTCCATGTAAACTAAGTGATTTTGACCCTACGCCTATAGTTTATAATCTTTATATATATAGCATCACAATGTTATGATATACGATATTTTCTCTTCTCTGTGCACATAGTTTCGGAGAAGAATTTTAATATATAAGTCAATGTAAACTAAGTGACAGGGAAAGCCATTTTGGACTGCAGGAACATGATTTAAAGGCCCTCACGAGGAACACAGTTTTTAAAGACTTGTGTAGGGAATCGCATTGAAGTTGTTTTGTTGTTGATGTTATTTAAAAAAAATCAACAAACAAACAAACTGTAATGCCTAGAGCTTAGATAGTCAAAATATAACCTTGCCAAGTAAAGAAGACCTCTTTAAAGGTTACATAAAACACTTTTGTATCATTAAGTGTACATGCAATAAAAAAAATCTTCTCAAAAATCAAAATGCATAGAGCACAGGTACTAAGCTGGCATGTAGCAACACCTTGGGTCTTTATTAACACATTTAATGAATTATGCTCAAAGAGCCACCTGGGTTCACAGACTTGTATAGGAAAACACATTAAAACATCTAGTGTTAAACTTCATTGACTTGAAATAAGATATTTGGGATGTAGACTGATATAACATGCATAAATTTGTATGATGCTACTGCAGTCTAAAATGGTTTTGCAATGGTATCACTTAATTTACAAAGACTACTGTAATAAATCTGTTTTCTCTTAACCTAGACTATCCGACGCATATACAGTAATCATGTATCATCATAATTATGTTATAATAATGATATATCATGGACAACATTGTACAAATTTACCAAACACAAAAGGTCACTAAGTTATATGGACTCGTATATAGATATGGTTATTAAAGTTCTCTCGTGTGAAATAAAAAAATTGAAAGCAGATATTGAGCATGTTTCTTTAAAAGCAACCGGATTCAATTATGACACAAATCATGTGTGTAATGACATAATTGACACTCCCAAAATGATCTTGTTACCTTTTTTCCAACAATGATCTTAGGTGAGTGATCCAGGGTCATCATTACCCTCTTATTGAAAGAAAAAAATAAGATATGATTACTTTAGGAAATACTAGTACACTTAGTTTGTATCTTAACTTTTCAAAAAGTTGCATGCAGACCAGGCCATATCATTGATATATATGTTTCACATCACATACATTTTGTTGGCTTTTAAGCCATGTTTATATTATAAATATAAAATTGTGGAGTGGTCAAAAATATGCGTTTATGGACTACCTTTATACCTTACATTCAAGTACATGTTTGCTATTTAAAAGTTACATTAAATATATTTCATAAAAAAAGAAAAAGCGACATTTCATTAATAAATTGGGTTTCATATCGACTCCAGATCTTATTTTGGTGTCCAGACAACCAAAATGAGTTTAATGAGCATACAAATGTGCAACCTCATTGTGGCGAATTCGGAAGTACAATTTCTGTTTGCATGAGAAACTCCGCCTTCGGATCATCCGTACATCACTATTAAATCAACAAACATGACTATAAGTAGCAGTCCTTATTTAACGGTATATTTCCGCATTGTAACGGATGTTTTCATACAAATTTAATCTTTTTCATGAGATGATTATTTTTTCTGAACCACAGGCCTTGTGCACCGTGAAGCTTAAACAGTTAAAGTGTGTTTTATATTTGCTGTGTTTCAGATAGCTACTATAACACCGTGACGTAGCGCATACACGAGCTGATTATAGTCCTCATTTGCATGTTAAAATTCGTATATGAACTTTAGTGTTACCGTGGGGTTTTCCAATTAAAATCTTAATTTATGAACAATCTTTGATGAGATTTACAACGATACTGTTAAAAAGGTTACTGAAACTGTAGAATGCTTGGTTTTTAGGCTGACAGCAAAAATATTTCTACATATTTATTTAATGTAGCTTTTAGCACGTTTAGTTGATTTATTGTCTTCTTATATGTCTTTACGATTAACAATTAATATATGATATCAAATATATTGAAACAAGAATTATCTTGCAACCAAATTTAATAACTGAATGTATACACATGTTTGTATGTGCATTTCCTGCTCACCCACCAAATGGCCCGAAGGAAGACAAAAATACTTTCATCAATTAAAAAGTACTTTTTAAGTTGGAACATTTGCATAAGAATTCATAGAAAAGTAAAAAGGCAAAGAAATAGAATGAACTTGGCTATGTAGATTTTCTGTTGTTTTTTCTTTCACAATTATCATATAAAATTACCCCACCCACTTTCACGAAATATAAAACCTACAGATTTAATGCTTTTCTTACATTCTTTACAATAAACACATGATATTAATGGAATGTCAAATACAGTTTAAGATATAAAGTAACTTTTTTAACTTTGTACATTACTTTTAATTAGAGAATCAAATTTGAAAAATATGAAAAAATGGAATTTTTTCTTGATCTTTTTTAAAGATATTTTTAGACAAAACTTTTAAAATGTTTACTTTTATTGAGATTAACATATAATTTGATTATCTCTGATATGTTTAAACACTTTTTTTATCATAATAAACATAATTTGTGCAACAAATTATACTATAAAAATGATATAACAGTTTTGCACAAAATCGACGGCCATATTGGACGCCATCTTGGATTTGGAAGAAGTGTGAAAGAGAAATTTTGTGAGATTTAAATTTTTGAAAAGGAGAAATTATATGCATGCTTTTGGTGTGAGTTAAAGGTTTGTACCAAAAAATTGGAATGAATGAGCTAGAATGTACTCAAATTTATATGGCGGCCATTTTGAAAATGGCGGCCATCTTGAATGAGCAGAGATATTTTTGGGCCCACTTCACTTTTGAAATCTACATGGTCTAAAGATGATTTCCTGAAAGTTTCATGCTTGTATCACAATTTGCACTATTTTCTCAATTTCCCGCCCCACTATTAGTCAAACTTGGTCTGCAATTTTCATTTAGTTTTGTTGCTTCAGAGAGATAAACTTTCGTTCAGATGTTTATACTTATCAACATCAGTTGTCAAGTAACGTGTGGTAGCTATAAAAAGTTGTTTCGAACTTTACATCAGTGTTGTTATATTATTCTGGTCCTTCAGGATAATTGATTCCAACACTTTTAAGCGTTGTAAATTGAGTACCGCTCATGCCGGTGCTTGCAGGTGTGTGAGGCAGGTATTGTTTCACTATCTCTCACGTACAGACTCAATCAAACTAAATCTGCAATATACATGCAATGTTTTTGTGGCTTATACATCCGAGGGATCACCCTTTTTCCTGATTTTGATGAATTCTTACTTACGATGAATATGGATATCAAGGGTCATCTTGGGTCAAAAATTACGTCACGAAGCGCAAATATAATTCAACCTTGTTTACTCTCTAGAGGGTACTTTTTTATCAAAATATCCTGAAAATTGGTCATAAGTAATATTTCCAGCTAAACTGAATATTGGTCAGAAATGTTAAGGTGATGTCCAGCTGAAGTTCGAATATTGATTATATGGCATCAAAAACTAGGTAAGAAAAACCTTGTTAACAGCCATGAGGCAACATTTTGAGTCTAAAATCCTGGAAATTTGTCAGAAAGCTTAATAATTTCTAGACCAGCTTCGAATATTTGTAAACTTGGGTAATAGACTAGGTCACACTGCCTCTTGTTTACACACAAGAGGCATTATTTTTAACCCAAATATGATAATTTTTAGGACAATTTCGATTATGGTTAACCATTGGTCAAAAACATGGATAATCCTTGTCAACACTCTAGAGGCCACTGTTTCGGTCCATACTTCCTGGAAATTGGTCATAAAGGTAGTCTAGCATTATTTCGAATATGAATCATCTGGGGTCAAATTTGATTTGTTAGAAGTCTCACACTGTGACGTAGCGCATACACAGGTTAATTACAGTCTTCGGTTACATTTGTAAACGAACTTAAGTGTAACCGTTAGGATTTCCCTTTAAAGTTATAATTTCCGAACAGTATTTGATTAGATTTACATTTTTAAAAAGTAATAAATGAGTAGACTCTCTAGTTTTTAGACCGACAGCAAAATATTTCTATTTTTCTATAAAACTCAGACGACCATAAAAAGGTCACTATGGTCGTCTTGTTGGATTATACGATAATAACAGTAACGTCTAAATTATTTATGTACGAGTAGTGTGAACTATAATTTATTTCAGAAAACATTGGTCAGAAATTATAGTAAGAATCAATATTTTCACAACTATTTTGCAATACATGATGTACCATGTTCCATGTATATAAATATTTCCAGGTCTGACAGATTATTTGAAAATGTTTTATTCAAAGTCAGAAAGTTTTAACACTTTCTGCCACGAATTAGAAGGATTGGAAGGATTTTCATTACTAATAGGACCGACGTTTGAAAAGATAGATTTTAAATCTCAAGATGTCACAGAAATGAATCAAAATGAGGCACTGATTGAAATTCTGCAGATTCCTTACACACTCGAAGGCATTCAGCTTTTGAAGCCAATTCTGGTTGTGGCAAAAGACACAACAGCATCAGCAAATTATATTGTGAGTTACTGGTTAAATAATGTCGATAACAACAATTACCCCATGAACTTGAATTCTCTAGATGGAGTTTTCTTGTTAAAGATAGCAGATTCCGATGATGTTACTGATTTAGATATAATGATGGCGGAAAGATTTGAAATGAAAAAGTCTGATTACTCTCAAAGAATACTCATTATCTTTGAATGTATTCCCACAGATCATTTCAAATTGAAAAAAATCTATAATTTGGCCTGTTCTTGCAAGTTTCAAGCTTGCAAGTTTATCATTATCACCAAGATCGAAACACAGGTCGTACTTGGTTTGCAATTAGATATGCAGTTTATTCTTATTGCTGATAAAATTGATGCATTGCATGTAGCTCGTGCACAATTCGATGAACGGATAGATGGACATAAATTAAGCAAAATCATCGATCAAATAGTATCAAAGAGGAAATGTGTTTTATGGCAAAAAGACGCAATAACAAAAATTTGTTTTGAGAATATTCATCCACTAAATGAAGCTGCAACGATACGCGTTCCTAAAGATATCAATAACATAGAATTTCACGGATGCAGTCACAAAATTCAGGTTTTGCACTGTGCAAATCATTTAGATATATCAGTATCTAATCGTTTTTCGAATATTCTACCAGAAAATATAGTTACACCAACGTTGACGACTATTGCCATATATTTTAAATCATTAGGACATGTTTTTCGCAAAAGTGTGTATGAGTCATTTGCCTTTAATATATCTAAGGCAACTCAAATTTTGTCGTTACGCTTGTGTAATATGACATTTGGGAGGAAATCTATCACTGTTGAACTTCAAAAAGAAGGGATTGAACAAATAAGGCAATCTATAGAGTCAAATGAGGACTATTGCCGTTTTGGAGCTCGCATTTTAGGTCCATGTCTAGGAAAAATTTCGTTTGACAAAGAAGATGTTGAATCTAAAAATAACAATTCATTTGTAAAACAAATAATGTTAGATTTGATATGCTATGAACTTGTGAAAACACACCAATCAGTATCAGAATGCTATGCTTCGGAAAGGGAATGTGGTACGATAAAACTTATTTGCTTCGTAAACGATGATGTTCAGATAGATTCCTTTAAAGGATTCCCTCTTTTAAAAACAGATTACAACAACATCAGTAAAGAATCGCTGTTTGCAGAAAATTCATGTGACAGAGAAGATAATACCGTAGTAAATGCAACAGTAGAAGAATTTGAAGATATAAATGAAACACTGTCATTTCATGCAGAAGCTCTCATGGCATCTCATAGAAATTTGGAAGCTGTAAAAGTAAGTTTTGTCCAGCCAAAAGACATGACACTGGTACAATCAAAATTGTGCATTGTCTTATATTGTAGAGCTAAGGGTTACATTCCATATGGAGATGTTCGTTTCCCTCGGACGCTGATTCATCCTTTCAAGAACAAATCATTCAGAACTGATGTTCGGGAAGGTTATTTTATAGCATGCCCTTATCGTACCGATCACAGCACTGATTTCAACAAAGAACTAGCAATAGGTTGTACGGACAACATGAGCAAAAACCTGCTGCTACTTTAGGTCCGTTCATAAATATTAAAGAAACCCACGAAACATGTTTCTTGACAGTACGCCATGTATTTGGTCCACCTTCAATTAAAGAGGACTGTCTTGTCGGAGCAAAAGTTGTTCAACCGGCTGACTATCACTTATCACCCGATGAGGATAAGCTACAGAATCGACATTGCGGAGATGTTGTGGTCAGCCAAATAGGGGGGCAAATTGATGCTGCGTTGGTAAAAATATCTGCTGAAAGATTACCGGGAAGAGGTCAGTTTATACAACTGACAAGAGAAGATCTTGAGTGGACAGGTAATAATCGAGTTTATAAAACAAATATTGAACTGACTTTATGCTCATTTGTCCGCCGCCAAGTTGAGTTCTATTAGGTACGCTACTGGTACATATTTAAAAGTATTATTTAAAATATTGTATTTTTTTAGATTGATTGATCAATGAGTGTTAATGTTTCTTAAGCCGATCAATCCGGTATTGGTCTTATTCAATATGCACGCTTTTAAGTTTTCAATCATCTACGTAAACCCGTGTCTAATTGTATCTTTTTTCGACCGCATGTACCTTTTAACTTTCGTTCAATGAAACGTAAATTGCAAGCATGAACATGTTTTTACATACTTAATATGTTTTTTGTTTCATATCCTTACTAATAAACTCTAACGATTTTTATAGCTCAAAGTTTTTTATTATTCAAATGTGTAAACTAAAGTTTCAATTTAGGCATATAGACAAAAAAGAAAGTGTGAAATTGAATTAATTTAATTTCTCCGTTATCTTTGGGGGTGAACAGTGAATTTCTGGTAGAGTGGAGCTTGGGACATTTTTATTACAGATGCACGCGGCCAGCCGCGTGTATTATAACATGGTGTATTCTGATGTAATTCGGGGAGTTTCTTTTGCATTCATACGCAAACAAGTTTTCTAAACTGACATACAATATGTGCCTTTAAATTAAGAGTAAAGTGTGTTGATCTATAGAAGATTATGGCTCAAATATTTTTTTTTTACTTTTCCGTGCGTTTAGAGCAAAATATTTGGAGAAATTGTTTTTGCAAATATCAAATTTTCATTAAAATAATAGCTCAACTTTCAAATATACGTTATGGGGATTTGCACCGTGTTTTTCCTCCTTGATTCCGCGTCTACTATAATAACAAAACAATTATGTTTTTCCTACCTTGTTTGTGAATAATCTGCCTCTGAGACAAAGTATGCTATTTTGCTTAAAATAAACACATAAATACAATAAGAGTGAAACAGAGGATACATAATTGAGCATGATATAAAAAAAATGGCATTAATATAAGTAAAAAAACATTCCAAAACAACTTTTCTGTTGTAGTAAGAAATTATGTTTTCTTTATTATATGCTTAATTAATCATAGGTTTAACGGAACAGCCAATGTTCAACGACGGGGCGTTTTTGGATGCCAAAACATTAACAGTGAAAGATCTAGCCACTAGAAGAATAATAAAAATTGGCTGCATAACGTCTCTTACTAAAGGAACGTTGTCAACAACAGAAGGAATTGTCAAGGAAACAATGGAGTACTCTACCTTAGAAACACTTTACAATGGGAGTAAAGAAAAATATCAAATAAAGAGTCAGTTAATGGTGGACTCTTATTACAAAAAGGTATTTTGCCAAGCTGGAGACTCTGGCTCCGCTGTGTTTTTGGTCGAAGATGATAATCATTTAAATTGTATTGGAATGGTTATTGGTTTCATATATAATGATCACACAGCAATTGTCACACCCATTGACAATATCTTGAAGATATTAGGTCATAAACTTAAACAAACACTAGAGTTAAAAAGGTTCCGAGAAACGGATGAAATGGACGAATCTTAAGTGTTTAGAGAATGTTGAAAAAACAGTACTACATTACTGGTAAATAATTTACGGAAACATTTTTGATGAACCGTTTGTGTTGTAAGGATTTTTATTTTATATGTTTACTATCTATGGTGACTGATTTGTGCCATTCGTGGTTTCGCCCCGCCACCCTGCCAAAAGAAATCGAGAATTAACAGGTTAAAATGACGAAAGCGCCAAGCAAGCTTATAAATGGGGGCGCGGAGCGAGATTTAAGAAAAACAGCGGGGGCGAGAAGCGAAAAACACGCTTATTAGCGCTTTCGCTGATAAGCGTGTTTTCGCTTTGTGTCCCGCCATTTTAACTTGTTAATTCTTGACTTTTCGCTTGGCGGGCAGCGGGGCAAAAATATGTAAATTAGCGGTTCACTTATAAAACTTCGCCCCGCGGCCCCGTTTATAAGCGTGTTTTCTCTCCGCTCCTCCGCCCTTACATTTCTTAAATCTCGCTTTGCGCCCTCGCGGGGAGAGGTTTTATTTCTTAAACATCGCCCCGCACCCTCGCTAATAAGCGTGTTTTCGCTCCACGCCCCGGCCATTTTAACTTCTTAATTCTCGACCTTTTGCTTGGCTGTATCGCGGGGCGAAAACACGCCAATAACCGGGGCGCGGTGTGAAGTTTTATTAAACTTCGTGCCGCGCACCCGCTAAATGGCGTGCTTTTGCTGCGCACAACCGCCACTTTATTTCTAAAATCTTGCTCCGCGCTCTTGCGGGACAATTTTTTTCTTAATCGTCACCCCACGCACTCGCTAATAAGCGTGTTTTTGCTCCGTGCCCCGCCAATTTAACTTCTTAATTCTCGATTTTTCGCTTGGCTTAGTCGCGGAGCGAAAACACGAATGGCATAAATCAGCCACCATAATTATTATTAATTTTGTGAGAATAAAAAAGATATAAAAGATTTGTTCAATCAAATATTTTTTCCATAACGAAATATTCACTAAAACAAGTTTAGGGAGTTATTTTACTTTGAAATAAGTTCCATGAAGCTCATTAAGTTAAGTTTATTCAGTATTTTTTTTCGATCGACCAACTGTAGGCCTTAATGTCATAAAACATAATGTAAGAATGATATTATCTATCTCATTTAAACTAGAGCTTGTAAAACAAATGCCCATTACTAAGGCATGGAGTCCATTCCGCATTCTATTACTACCGTATAAAGCATTATAATTTATATATGTGTGATTACATATGCACGCCATTATTTGCTTGTCATTGTTTTTATCATAATGTATCAACAGTTTAATCAACTTATCTTATCATACTTACGTGTATGTTTTACTCACACAATTATGACATGATACCTTTCTTTTGATAATTTGCTGATTTTACATATATGTAAAGAAAATCTTGACATTGTAAAGTGCACCTTGTTCTGTGCTTGTAATGCTTTTGTCTTTTTATGCTCCCCTAATGGAGAGAATAGAGTCGGAGATTTGTCCGTCTTAACATCCGTCACAAACTTGTTCTGAGCAAAACTTTGAAAGTATTTAAGGAATATGATTGACCAGTGAGAGAGAAAAAAAGAGTTCACAAAACATAGCATGACTTTGCTTTAATTATGAATGAACTTACCTAAGGTTCTAAACTGTCTATGATATCGCCTTAAAAATCACACTTTTGTAGAGATTAGACAATCAAAGGAATTTCACTGTCAAAGAACTATAACTCTACATTGTTAAGTTGTTTCGTTATTTCCCTTTATAAACTTAATAGCACTTGGCCGAAGAATAATTCGAAAATATTGAAAGTATTTAACTACACCTTCTCACAGTGATGCATACCAGTAAAAGGACGTGCATTTTTACAGAACCATACTACTTTGCTTACTTTTAAAAATTAATTAATTATTTTATGTCTGTATTTAATTCTATTTTTCCCACACTTTTATAACGTTGCGTCATTGTTATATTTGTTATGCTTTTATTATACGTTACTGTCTGAAGATATATACAATAATTGAAAGCGCTTATAGAAATAAACGTTTGAAATTCAGAATAAAACTTCTTAACTATCCATGTTATTCATACGTTCATATAATTGTAAAAACTAGTGAGCGACTGTGCAGTGATAAAGAACTAAGACCCCACTTTATTTAGCTTTAGAATTATTTCCAATGATAATATTTAATCATGAGTGACCGGAGAATAACTTGAAAAGTGTTTAAATGTTATCACACAGTGATGTGATAGAGAATAATAAGAAGACGTGCAGCGTACAAAAGCCATAATTCTAACTTGCTTACTTTGTTATCATCTGCCTTTATTATACTAGAAATGGTATATAATTATATGATTGTGTGTATAAACATCTTATTTGATGTGCTTGTCATAGTTAAATTATCTCCCTTTATGATGTAAAAAGTGCATATCATGAATAACTAAAAAATTATTGTAAAAATATTAACACACCACACAGTGAGAAAAAAGGGATGTGTCATATATATAATGAAACCTTTCTTTAGATAGACTTTATCACTTAATTTTTGTTCGTAGTAAGTAGCCATATACTTCGGTTGGTCGTAAAATTTTGGGGTGAAGTAATGGGAAAGTCCGATACGATTGTCATGGTCACCGGTGATATATTTGATATTTTAAACTTTTGCATATACATCCTTTATGTATTTACTGTTGATTTTCATATTTGAAATATCTTGATTGGTACTATACTGTTAGGTGGAGAAGAGGAGGAAAATTTAGTCAAGGTCAAGGTAAAATAGATTTCTTAACCTCCGCTCACGCAACTTTTGTTAATTGAATGAGTTTTTTTATATTTATTGGGTAAATGCTTTGGGTTGCCCTCCAACTGTGTGTGGAGTAAGAGACCACTCGGGTTAAAGGCATTGAAAAGATATTTACACTTTTCTTTTACAGCCTTTACTATCTATTTTGTACTAAATAGAATGTGAAATATGCAGATTCGGTGAGCATCCATCGTCTTTAGCAATATTCTTGTTTTTACAGCAAGCAATTACCTTGCTTTGCTTTTCATTACTTATAAAATGATTCTCAATCATGTAATTAAGGTTTATTTGTTGACATATTTGTATTCATATATGTTACTTTATTTTTATTCTTAAATGTATATGAAAATGATTAAGGGACATAAACATTAAATACAGTTACAATGTTCCTAAATTATGTATGACAAGATAAAACTATGCTGTTTTTTCTGTATGGTTGTTTTGTTTTTCTTAAGAGGGTTAAATGACTGTTTATTTATATGTTTACGATATATTCAAGGACTGTGTTATACATTTCACTATCATTTACCATGTATTATATAATATTTGATGTGATAATTTTAAGATTACCTGAGATTTCAAGAATAAGATAACGGTTTGTTCTACTTAGATAAGATAATAAATGAAATACATCTTGACATGTGAAGTAGAATACTCGCAACTGTTTGGTTTTAGATTTGAATCTGCAAACATTTCAAAATTATATAGAAGTTTTTAGAATAATCTTAAAGATTTAGAAACGAGTATTCATTTTGATATAGATGGTGCTTGTTAAGAACAGTTTTTATCTTAATTCAAATGCAAATACTAATTATATGTTTATAAAAATTGGAATTTATTGTACATTGTTAAGAATTTTTTTTTTATTGTCGTCAAGATTATATAACCTGCTAAACGTAAACATTCAAAAAAATTTCAATTTGTTTGTTAGTTAATATTCGTTAGATTTTATTAAGCTTAGACATTATATGAATATGCAAGCATTCGTTTGCCAGTATCTGTTTGCCTAACATAATGAAAGCCCATGAAAAATTAAAACATTTGTAGACATATTGTTTAACTTTTTGTTTATTTACTGTATCCTTGTCAAGTTTGATAACTTCATATGCATCGACGATGTAACTTCTGAATGAGTTTGTATGAAACACTGAGCATGGTGTAGATAGATACAATGTTCTAGTTAACTTTAATAGAGAAATCGAGTTTTAGTTAGTTAAAAAGTTTTTGTTACATAAATGAAAAAGGATTGAAGAGTCTAAGAAAATATTTTTACTTATGCATTAATTTGTATTGATTGTGAAGACGTATTTAGCGTATTTTAAACACTCTCGAGTTCGCTTTCTTCAAGAAATTAGTGCTGTTGTCATGTGAGCAAATATGATAATGATGTAAGTATGACTCGAGCACATGATTTGTGGAGGCAGTCGCTTTTAACAATAGGGCACCGCTCCCCTCACAATTGATTCTTTTTTCGCATGTAAGATGTAGACAAAAAAGTACTTAAACTAGATATGACATTGCAAGATTTCAGCTAAGTATCGATTTTGTTAAAAAATAAGGCGTTATCATTGTATATTAATTTGAATAATGCAATATTTCAGTGGTATTGTTTTTCGTTAGGTTTAAGTCGTACACAATACAATATTGGTAATATAGCGACTTTCCAGCTTTACTGGTGGGGGAACACCTCGTTCGTCTCTGTATGCAAACATGCACCTGAGAAGAAACATTAAAAAACCAAATGGCTGGCGCGGCTTGAACCTACAACGTTGAGAGTCAACCCATAAAATGTTAAAGTAAAAATATATAGAAATTCATTTTTCTATGGTTTTCGCCATTATTGTTGATGTAAATCAATACGATATCTTGTTTTAACATAAGTGCTTTTAATAAAAACAAATTCAACCGTAAGAGTTAAAAACAGTACAATCCATTGCGCTTTAATTCAAAATACTCACTATGAAAGGAACTCCATGGGGGTCCAAAAGCATAAAAACATTTAATTCGAATTTCTTACATCGATTATATGGGGCACTTTCAACAAAAAGGTATGCAAACAATATTTAAGAAATACTAAGCAATAAATTAAACATCGGATTCTTGAGTGAACAATTTCTGGCCGTTTTTTATAATTTAAATGAATATTTTGGAAAATTGGAGTGAGCGAATTGTCTGAAACTTTGCACACCATGGCCAGCTGACATCAAATTGAACATTTATCTTGAAAAATTATTTCATGTCCCGTCATGTCACAAATCCTCATTGGAAGTCGTTGATAATGCCAAGTTTCCTTTATACATCTCACAAAGCATTTTCAATCATGTATTGCTTTTTTATTAAATTGAACTATTTCACATTTTGATCACATGTAAAAGGGTAAGATGGTCATTTCCGTTCATTACAAGATATTTTTCTTCTTCTTTTAATTTTTAAATTGATCAGATACTACAAATAAACAAATACACTATAAATTATAAATGAAACATTTTAGGCGGACATTTTAGCTGGTGGGTCACGTATTTTGTAATCTTTTCATATATATCGTGATTGCGTTTGAACTGGCAATTCAATGTTTAAAGAGTATAAACTGAGCAACAATAACGTTTGTTGTATCCACTATTGCCAAAAGACTGTAGCACTTAATTGAACACATAAGTGTACTACCCGGAATTAATTAACGGACAAAACATGGTCACGAATTATTTTGCAATGAAGCCCATCCTGAAAATAAACTTCAATAGTGTAAACGTTAAAACTTACTTTTTGAACTTGGCGCATACATTATGGATGTGCAAACCTTAGGTCGAAGAATCAATTTTCTGTAGCAGTAGAGAAATAAAAAGAATGAATATATGCAAACATATAAACGAAATAGGTTAATGTTTCTTAGGTACTGACATCAGTTTAAACTTAATTTATTCAATAAATTGTACATAAATGACATATACAAACATTGCACAACAATGTAATTCAGACTGGATTGGAAAACAAGTAAAACAATACTTATATCAATTCCTCTCCAGTAAAAGTAATTTTCAAGATAAAGATACAAAAATGTTGCGGTTAGATGTAAGCTCTTTGACTGACATTAATACATAATAATAATAATAATAATAATAATAATAATAATAATAATAATAATAATAATAATAATAATAATAATAATAATAATAATAATAATAATAATAATAATAATAATAATAATAATAATAATAATGATAATAATAATAATTATAATAATAATAATTATTATAATAATAATACAAAATGATTCTCAGATTCCCCTTTTTATTCTCTGATAAAAAAATTGTTATACGTGTTGCTGTCAAACTGGCATATGTTTAAAAACGTTCAATCAAATAATTCATCAATGGTTCACAGTAAAAGTTCCTTGGTAATGGCATTTACTTTCATCATTTTATCGTGGGTGAATTTTTTTGAAATTATTAAATACATCAACTCAAATAGTGTTGAGAAAGGGAACTTTATCAAGATGATTAGCTGACACGACACACTTAAAGACCCAACCTAGGTATAAAAGGGAGGTAATGGCTGGTGGGTGGTTTCCCTTGAATTTTCAAACTGTATTCAGCTCAGGGAGAGATTTTAAATATATCTGCAGTAAAATGCAATTTTTTGCCAATGAAAAAATTCGTAAATGAAGTCAAATGATTAATCTATGACTCTAGATAAGAAATTTGAAAATGTATGAAGAAATATGTTCTTATAATTTAATATCAAATGATAACAGAATTCAAATTTGAACTAATGGGAGGAGTTTATTATGTAAATAACCATGTGACCACATTGTTTGTAAACATAGCAATGTGATCACATGGGAATCCATACACATGCAATTAAAGTACATCAGTGTATTACTTACTTGATACAATGGTTTTTTCTAAGGTTTGTCAGAATAATCCACTTTGCATCACATGAATTGTAGTTTATATCAATAAAAGTGAATAAATCCAGTACATTTCACAATGAAAACATACAAAAATGATAAAATTCTTGGCTTGTATTTCTCACTATTGTAAGTATATTAATTTTACAGACACATTATATTGAAGTTATAAATACTAGAAGTAATTTTCAAATTCATCCAATAGTGACAGAATTAAATAGTGTCCAGTGTAGGATTGTACTAGTAGTTTAGGACACAGTTTCCTTTCTTTATTTTTGAATTACATGTTCTCTAGTTGAACAAAAAGAGTGCTCAGAAGATATCCTTTTTTCAATGGAGAAATGCATTGGTTCTTAGTTACTTCCTTTTACACCAAGCATAGCGTCTTTACATAATTGAACAAAAGATTTTGTATCAGATTTTTATTAAAATTTATTTAGCTTTATTTCCTTAACCTTTTTTCCATTCAGGACTTTTCTTTCACATTTACACATGAGGAACAAAAACATTTTTCACATGAAATAGTAAAATCAGAATCAAAATCATTAGTTTCATCTGCTCTTTGTCTTATAAAAAATAATACTATAGTTAGCTATCTCTTTGATGGCGTAAGCTATATTTCCAGTTTCCTTTGACATGTGAGCATTGTCTATGACCTCATTTCTTTTCTCTAACATTTGTGACACACTTTTTCCAAATTCTAACAGAGATTCAATGGTTTGTTTTTGCTCTTAGTGACCAGAAAAAGACAAAATAAACTTATCCATTTATATTGAATAACACAAATCATTGAAAACACCAAACAAAATTACTATTTTCCTAGCACACAAAATCCCTCCTAAACTGATTTCAGACACAAGTCATCTAAATATAGAAGATTCAAAATATGTAAGGTATGGAAGGTATAAATTTGTAGTAACATTTATTGTTAAATGTCATATTGTAGCAAAAAATGTGTATCAGCTTCAAAATGAGAAAACAATTTTTCACACTGTTTGTCTCAGAAAATCTGCACTAATTAGATAATATATTAAAAACAAGACTTTACAAGCCCTGGCACCCCTTCTGTATTGTAGTGTTGTATGCCAATTAAACACAGAAATGTGATATTTTGTTTATCTCTGCTGATAGCAGCATAACAATACACTTCCTAATTAAATCAAAGGACTGCATGCTCTGTGGTATTTTCTGATCTTTCCTGTATAAGTTTATTTTTATATACTATTATTCATCTTACGCATTGGCTGCGTTTAACAGTTTGTGATTGATACATATGGAATTTTGCATACCTAGAGCTGCATCAAAAATCATTTTTTATTACAGCCACTTTTTATCCTTGCATATCGTGGCTACTTCCTTAAAAAAGACACTTCAAAAAAAAAATGTTGCCTCGACAAGGATTTTAACCTTGGGCCTCTCATACCCTAAACGAGCTCGCTACCTCTGCACCACAGTAAAGTAATACGTATGTAGCGGGAATAAAAACAAATATATTGTAATTCTAAAATTGAGAATTTTCATTTCGTATTTGTAATCCTTATTAATTTCGAGGTATTTTGTTCACGATAAACCTGTTGTTAAACACTGATGAAAATAATTTAGCGAAAATTTTCTCGCCAAAACAGTCCGACATGTATATATTCCATTACTCGGCAGTCAGATTTATTTGTGTACTACGCTCTGGAGTATTCGGTAATCGACATAGCTAAAATTGCATTAACATTGATTAAGCTTTACGGAAAAAGTCGAACATTTTTCATTGGGTAAAAAAGATATCCATCTGCGAAATTTGTGATTGTAACCTCATATTTCTATTGACTAATGTAAACTTTTAATGCACTGTAATTCGTTTAATGCCTACATTAAAAATTATTCTTTCTTTTAAATTGATAGTTTTTAAGCAGTTTTGAGTGAGAACTACTTTGCGTTGTTAGGTCTGTGAGGAAATTTTGTGTTAGACCGTGGATGTTAGCTATGTATTTACTGATCTTGCGATCAGAAAATACAAATATACCTGAGGTATAAAATTATATACCAGAAATCATACCATATAGTAGTTGTTGATGGTCACAA